TCACCATGTTGACCAGGATGGTCTCGATCTCTTGACCTCGTGATCCACCCGCCTCGGCCTCCCAAAGTGCTGGGATTACAGGCTTGAGCCACCGCGCCCGGCCTTGGAGGATTTTAGATTTGAGATTTTTGGATTTGGAATTCAACCTGTAATGTATATCACACCATGGACAGAAAGAATGAGGATCTTCTACCATAAGTTAATGCTGTTACTTTAATTCACAATAATCCACCTAGGTTATTTTCTCATCCAGTATTCTACTGAGTTTAAAGCAAAAGGAGGAATGAAAGTTCCCCTACCTACAAAGAATTCAGTTTCCATAGCTGCAATCAGAAATTATTTGCAGCTTTAAAACTTAATGACAGAATCCACTGATTGAGTGTGGCAGTCTAAGCATCCTTCAACCCTTCTGACCGATAAAAATAAGACACTGCAGGAAATATAAGACATCATTTAAAACACTATTGCTGAACCAGAAAAAAAAAAAAAATCTGCAGAGACCAAAATGGAAACTTGGAGCCCTGGGAAAAAAGCAAGCACAAAGGTGGCCTTTGCTTCAGAGATTTCTGTTGAGTTCTGGATTCTTGCAGCTTCCACTTTGGCCATCGAAGGTGCAGGGGACGGAAGGCACATGCAGCGTCTGTCAGTTAAGGGCCCTGCATAAGGCGGGGACCCTAGAGCAGCTCTCAGTTCAGGACAAGAAAGAAACCCACCTCTACATGGTCCATTTTGATAGTCCGATTCCTTTGTCGTTACTTTCAGTCTCATCTTCGAATAGAATTCTTTTCTGTATCTGGTAATAGTGGGATCTGTCGTCTTTGCTGGATCTGATTCTGCAGTTTTTTTTTGTGACCGTGTCATGTCTTTGGAAACTGAATCCTATATTTAAAATGCATTTTTTTTTTCTTTTTTTTGAGACAGAATCTTGCTCTGTCAGTCACCCAGGTTGTACAGTGGCCATCTCAGCTCACGGCAACCTCTGCCTCCCCGGTTCAAGCGATTCTCCCCTTAGACACCCGAGTAGCTGGGACTTTAGGTGCATGCCACCACGCCCAGCTGATTTTTGTTTTTAGTAGAGATGGGGTTTCACCATGTTGGCCAGGCTGGTCTCAATCTCTTGACCTCGTGGTCTACCCACCTCGGCCTCCCAAAGTGCTGGGATTACAGGCATGAGCCACTGTGCCCGGCCTATTTTTATTTTTAATAGAGACAGAGTGTCACCGTGTTGGCCAGGCTGGTCTTGAACTCCTGACCTCAACTGATCCACCCACCTCAGCCTCCCAAAGTGCTGAGATTGCAGGCCTAAGCTACCGTGACTGGCCTAAAATGTATTCTTACAAAGAGGATTTACATTTTTTCTGCCATGCACCTGCAAGTACTGCTATCTATGAATACTTCAGATTTATAGTTTAGAACTGTTGGGCCTGCACAGACTGTGTCTACCAGCCCCAGACCCACGTAAGTGCAAGCTGTGGTTAGACACTCAGGGGAGAGACTCCTTCCCATCCCACTGAGGGGCAAGACTGAGACAGACAAGCTGAGTTTGTTTTCTTATAAACTGCCTGAGGCTGTGGCCCTTAGGGATCCCAGCTTTGTCAGTCTCCAGTTAGTCTCCAGTCCCTGGGCTTTGCCTTTGAAAACCCAGGGATCAGCACATACCTTCAAGGCACATGCAGACTCCACTTGCTCCTACCATTTGTTCTTTCACCAAGGAGTTCAGCCATGCCTCATAAAGGTTTTTAACTTTATCCAACATTTTTGTGTTGTCTAACTGAATGAGTTTCTGTGTGTTCTGCTCTGTTGCTGGAAACAAGCCAATTTATGTAGCTGGGAAAGAGTCTAGTGGTTAAGAACTTGAGCTAGGGAGTCTTTAACTCCTCCTCTTCATTTATCAGCCCTGTGACCTTGAACAAGTGATTTAACTCTTTCTCAGTTGTAAGAGGGAAATAATTCCTAACTTACAGCATTATTGTGAGAATTGAAATATTTACAAAGCACTTGGGTACAGTCCCCACATTATTGTAAGCATTCCATTAAGAATAACAGATGTAACTAATTCTGCCATAGAACCACCTTTAACTGCAAACATGAAACTCACTTGTGATTTCTTAAATCTTTCATCACAGAATTGCATTTGGTGACTAACTTAATCCACACACCGCCTTGCTTCTGTATCCCACAGCCACAGGACTGTGGTGCCTGCTGCTTTCCCACCTCAGGAGCTGCCACCCCCAAACCTTGCCAGTTGGTCCACACATGGAGTTATCCTTGAAATAATTTCAGCATCATTAGAATACATAAAAGCTGGCTATATGCATACTTTCTTAGGCTCTTCAGTTTCACAGCTCTCAGATCAGCTTCTGTTTTGTTTTTCAACAGGACAGCCTGTGGCTGTGTGAGAAGACCTGTGAGACGGGAATGCTGTCTTCTCCTCAGTTTTCTCCGCAGGAACTGGCAGAACTGTGGAAACTAAAGGAAATGTGCGGTGATCCCTGTCGATGTGAAACAAGATAACAGGGAAATCAGGGCAGGGAAACGATAATCTGATTGGAAGTCAGAGGAGGTCCAGGGTTTAGCAGTACTGTGCTGTCTTTTCAGGAGAGTTCTAGACCAGCACTTTTACCCAGAACCAGTGCGGTGTTTCTTAATGTTTGCACAAGTTTCCTTCTTAAAAATCAACTGGTACTGTAGCATAAGAAAAGTTTTTATTCATATATTGGAAGATTATCAGAAAAATACCAAATTATTTTATAAAAGAAAAAATATTTCCAAATCCTGTTTCATTGTGACTAGTCATTTATCATTACCTATAATTTTTGGTTTAAAACTTGGCCTAGGTTCGGAAATCTGGAGTAATAACTGAGTTTGAATTTCAACCTGGATTTTAGGATAGTTCTGTAGAGCTGAATTAGGATAATTAGACAAAAAGAACTCACAGGAATGCTGTGTGATCATATAATCACATATTTGAGCAATGGTCACTTATACCAAAGTTTGGGGTTTCTGGAAATGTCAAATTTTGTGGATCACTGAAGTGGGCAACTTGAACTTGAAAAGGAACCAATATGATTCTCAGCTCTGAACCTTGGTTTTAAAGAAGTTCATTCATCTGGTAGACTAATAACCAAATTTTCTTTCTGCCATCTAACATAAATCCTGAAGGTCACAGTTTATTACTCATATTTTTTAAATGCTCAATTTTTGCGGGTATGAATAAAAGCAAAATACCTCTCAGGGTTTTAGTGCCATCAAGAAGGATATTTCTAAATTGTTGACATTTTGAAAGAATTTTGCATTCCTCCTATCATTGCCTAATGTTTACCTAACATGAGTAACATTTCAATCAGCTGGTAATCTTCTACAGAAGAAGATAGACTCAGCGTAGGTATAACTATAGGGAAAGGCATGTGATTAAGTACTCTTAAAAAAACAGTGCACCTGAGAAGAGAGATAATAGCATATATGTTATATGTTACGTAGAGGATGTGTCTCCCTAAGTTTAAGGGACATTTCCCAAAATGACCAACCACATCATTTTAGCAACCCTTTAAAATAGTAGTATCAATAGAGAGTTCCATTAAAACTAGTCTTATGACAGACATTAACTGCGTTCAGATTTTATTAGGTAGCTACTTTCTATTTGATATTTAAATCTTATGAAATGCAGTGAACTGTAAAAAAATATGAAATAAGATCAGAAAATCATTAGTAGGTTCAAAGCCTTTATTATAGCTATTATGTATTAGCCTAGAAATGGTCGCTTCCCGACAAAAAAATACATCCATTGTTAAACTACGTCCCTTGTTATACTTAGGGCAAGTAGTAACCCCCCCCACTTTTTTTGGGCAGAATTGTTCCAGTGAAGCATTTATTTCTGGTGAACCCCAGACATAAGCAGTGTAGTCTCTAAATTTTATTAGTTGGTTGTTACCATCGCACTAGCAGACAATCTCCATTTTCCACAGAATAAAACTGTAATGACTTTAGGTCATTCTCCAGCTCAATTTCTCTGCCCGGCTTCTAAAATTAGAACAAAAGTGGGGAAGGATGTGATTAAGACAGATCCCATAACGTATGTTATACATACTCTCCCCCCCACCCCATCCTCAGGCAGTAGCTTACCCTTAAAATCAAACAGATCTGTGGCCTCCATTTAGAACCAAACTGTTGCTATCTGGAGACAGTTTAATGTCATAGTATGGGGATTACGCTTGACTTTGTATTTTGCTGAGCAACTTACCTCGGGACTTTCATAGGACAACAGAAGATCTGACACCGGAACTTTGAGAAGACGTGACAGCAATCCCTTCACCTTTTGAATTGTCATGGAGCCTATCAAAAGACAAGAACAGTCCGTTCTCTCAGGTGACAGTTACCTGTAAAACTAGTCATGTGATGAGACCACAGAGTCAACTGCAGTGATAGCTGTATCTGTCATTTTTCAGTGTCAGTTTACCCAAGTCAGTAATTAGGGGAAAGCCTGAGTCTTTCTACCACCTGTTCATTTGGGGAACTGTGGGAAATGGAGCCAACGGCCCTAAGTGCCCTTTGACAGCGCATTTCATACATTTCAGTAGAGAATTTCTTAATCTGAATAAACCAGACATGATACTCAGCACAGAATAATGGGAGTGAAATCAGTAAGTTTTCTTTTTGAACCTTTGTAATGACTTCCTTATGAATTACTGAGCAAACGCTGGAATGGTACTCAGGTGTCCTGAGGACATCTCTTAACCTCTCTGGCCTGAGTTCCCCCTCTGTAAAATGAAGGTGTCAACTAAATGACCTGCAAGGTCCCTTTCAGCAGGGCCATTCTGTTATTATGTAATTTGTAACTGTGTTATACATGGGAATGTAACTTCAGAGTAAACACTTTGGTTTGTTCAGAATACACTATGAACTTCTTTCCAAAGAGAGGTTGTGGTAAATAGTGGATATTTTGATTATGAGAAATACCGTTTCCTTGAAGCTTTAGCTGGAGATACAGCAATAGTGTGGTGTTCCTACAAATACCACAATGTATTCAAACATATTTTTCTATCAGAAATCATTTTTGTAAAAGCTGTGTGTTTTTATGCAACTTGTGATAATAAACGTTATCTTTATTTTAGAATAAAAACTGGCCTTTTTGTATGTAATGAATATAGTTAATAGAATTTATAATTTTAATTAACCAAATTTGCTCTTTCCTGTGTGAATATGTGATAGTCTAGTCTTTTCAAAAGATTTAGATGGACTGGCTTTCATTGTCTGGATGATGGTTAGAGAAGGGTTAACCACTGCACACCAGTGGGAAATGGCATACTCCTAACACATGCCAGAAACAAAGTTTGGTCACAAAGCAATTCTAAGAAATCTGCCTGGCCTGCTCATGCTGTAATCCCAGCGCTTTGGGAGGCAGAGGGATCAAAGCCTAGGAATTCGAGTCCAGCCTGAGTAGCGCAAGGACACCCCATCTCTACAAAAACTACAGCATTAGCCAGGCACAGTGATGTATGCCTCTAGTCCCAGCTACCTGGGAGGATCGCTTGAGCCCAGGATGTCAAGGCTGCGGTGAGCCATGATCACGCCACTGTACTCCATCCAGCCTGGGTAGCAGAGCGAGACCCTATCTCCAAAAAAAAAAAAAAAAAAACAAACAAACCTGCCTACTCACGCTGGTTCTCTGGAAGAAAGTGGTGATTTATATGTAATAAATAGCATTAACCACGTTTAATATAGTTAAGTAACATTCAGAAAATATGGAGATAGCTAATTCATTCTTTTCACCTGCTTATGACCAGTGTTAAAAATTTGAGAGGTAGACCTCTAGGCCTTCTTTTCTCTATGTTCATATACGGATGTATAGGTTTTAAGCCAGGCGCAGTGGCTCACGCTTGTAATCCCAGCACTTTGGGACGCCAGGGCAGGTGGATCATCTGAGGTCAGGAGTTTGAGAGCAGCCTGGCCAACATGGTGAAACCCTGTCTCCATTAAAAATTAGCCAGGCATGGTGGCAGGCACCTGTAATCCCAGCTGCTTGGGAGGCTGAGGCAGGAAGAATTGCTTGAAGCCAGAAGGCAGAGGTTGCAGTGTACTGAGAGCATACCACTGCACTCCAGCCTGGGCAACAGAATGAGACTCAGTCTCAAGAAAAAAAGATGTATAGATTTTATAATATATTGACCTACTACATTTATATTTCTTTATTACATGATGGTATAGCTTTTCATGCCATGTTCTCTAGACATACACTGCCCAATATGGCGGCCATATGTACTGAGCACCTGAAATGTGTCTAGTATGACTGAAGAATTGAATTTATTTTATCTTAATTTAAATAGCCACGTGGCTATTGCAGCCACACTGGACAGCACAGCTGTAGACCTCCTTCATTCCCCTCAGTGATTTGAGACAGTGCCTTGTGTGCCTGTGGTTCTGCCAGAGTTTATTCACCATTCCCCCACTGGCAAGCATTTAGATGCTTACTATCTTTACCGTTAAAAATGCTGCAAGAGAGAATGCTTGGTCGGAGCATATGTGTATTTTTAATTTTTTATAGTAATTTCTACATGACTTTACAAAAAGGGTATACTGCTTTTTCATGCCAGTTATTTAAGTTTTGCTCATCTAATGGAGTAAAAAACTGATATTGCAATATTTTCTTTTTTTTTTTTTTGAGACAGGGTCTCACTCTGTCACCCAGGCCGGATTACAGTGGCTCAAACGACCAGTCCCGGCTCTCTTTGACTAGTCTGTCTCCACCGGGGCCTTTATTTGGCAGTATTTAAGTTTGAAAACAGAATAATGCAGAGAGACATCACTAATTCTAATCAATTATATAGCAGTAGCAAAATTACATATTATAGGAATAGAAACTGGATTGTGAATAAATAAAAATGGAGAAGTACTGGTAAATTAACACTAAATGGATGGTTATCAATCAGAAAGGTACTTCTGTGAACACAACTAAGGCCTTCTATAAGCAATACCATAAGCTTGATCTGATAGAAACTATATAAAAATCAATGTGAATTTACTGCACTGATGGGCAAACAAAGAAACCCAGTGTACCAGAGTCATTTAGGCTGATGTGTATGTATTTCATTTATTTAAATCCTCGCTGCTCTAAATTTACTGTTTATATTTTAGCATTTAACTACAAATCAAGTTTAATCGTGAGAATTCGCAGTATCATGGCATACTCAAAAACAGACTAATTTTTCTTTTGAGGGGGAAGGTTTAAAGTAAGTTATGTGGATCTAATTTGTTGACACAAGCGTATTTATTTTCCAAACAAAAGTAACTCAGTTCCAGTGGCACAATTTTTTTTTAAGTTTTAGAGTAGTTTTCTCAAAGAAAACCATTTCAGGGTGTCCATTAAAAGAGCATTTGTGAATTGTTTTTGCAGGGACTCCTGATCAGTCAGGAGCAGGAGGTAAGCAGAATGTAAGCAAAGTCACAAATCGCCCATAACAATTCAGTTCACCAGGACATACCTCTTCTCTTATGAAGGGATGATAAGCAGACCCCAAATCCAGTGCACAGTCTCCCTAGAAACAGCAGTATGCTGGGGAAAGCTTCTGAAAGGCTATGCCATTCAAGTTCTCAGGCTTTGGTTAAAAATACAATTATAGGCCAAGCACAGTGGCTCATGCCTGTAATCCCAACACTTTGGGAGGCCAAGGCAGGCAGATCGCTTTGAACTCAGGAATTCGAGACCAGCCTGAGCAACACAGCGAAACTCCGTCTCTACAAAAAATACAAAAATTAGCAGAGCGTTGGTGGCTCGCACTTGTAGTCCCAGCTACAGGAGGCTGAGGCTGGAGAATTGCTCGAGCCTGGGAAGCAGAGGTTGCAGTGAGCTGAGACGGTGCCACTGCACTCCAACCTGGGTGACAGAGTGAGGCCCTGTCTCAAAAAATTATTTTATTTATATATATATATATATATATATATACATACACACACACACATATATATATACACACACAGACACATGAAATAGATGTGTGTGTAATTACATGCAGGGGGCTTCCAATTTTAACAAAACTGTTTTCAGCTGATAAAGTTATGGGAGACCTGAACTTTTTGGGTTACTGGGGAGTGATATTAGCATGACTGATTGTATTTTAGAATATAAAAGACTAATAATGAAAACCTATCAGCTCTGAGGTCCATACTTTCAGAAATGAGTTAAAGGTTTTAATTTTAGCTGACTCATACCTAGGCTGATGATTCAGAAGTTTAAAGAAGGAGAAGATAGGCTCATTCTTCTTACCTGGCAGTTGTTTCTCTAGGACTTTCTGATCAAGTTGATGAGGGTATTTTATCTTCAGTGCTTTCAGAGAAACAATGAAAAAGACTAATTGATATCTACTATTACATAGATTTAAATTAACCACACACGTTAATATATGGCCAAATGATAGAGCTATTCAGTGCAAATTGACAGGTCTAATCAATGTTTAAAATTGTTTCTATTAATACTTCCATGAGGCTAGGCACAGTGGCTCACACCTGTAATCCTACCATTTTGGGAGGCTGAGGTGGGCGGATCACAAGGTCAGGAGTTTAAGACCAGCCTAGCCAACATAGGGAAACCCTGTCTCTACTAAAAATAAAAAAAAATTAGCTGGGCATGGTGGCGCACGCCTGTAGTCCCAGCTACTCGGGAGGCGGAGGCAGGAGAATTGCTTGAACCCAGGAGGCGGAGGTTGCAGTGAGCTGAGATTGCGCCATTGCACTCTAGCCTGGGTAACAAGAGTGAAACTCCGTCTCAAAAAAAAAAAAAAAGAAAAAAATACAAAAAATTAGACAGGACTGGTAGCAGGTTGCCACCGCACTTCATCCTGGGCAACAGTGTGAAACTCTATCTTAAAACAAAGGAAAAAAACCCTCCATGAATTGCTAACAAAAATAGCTGGACCAACACTTTCCTTTCCCCTCTTAGTACTTCTTTCCTGACAGTTTAGCTAGGTTTTCAAGTCACAAATTCACAAATCACAATTTGGTTCACAACTCCAACACCTCCCACATTTATAACAGTATTAAATGACTTTAAAACAAGAGTTGCAGCCGGATGCAGTGGCTCACACCTGTAATCCTAGCACACTCAGAAGCCGAGGCGGGCGGATCACAAAGTCAGGAGTTCGAGACCATGGTGAAACCCCGTCTCCAATAAAAATACAAAAATTAGCCAGGCATGGTGGTGGATGCCTGTAATCCCAGCTACTCCAGAGGCTGAGGCAGGATAATGGCTTATACCCTGGAGGCAGAGGTTACAGTGAGCCGAGATCCCACCATTGCACTCCAGCCTAGGCGACAAGAGCAAGACTCCATCTCACAAAAAACAAAATAGGAAAAAAAAAAAAAAAGCCATAGGTGTTGCAAAAATGTTCAATATAAGAATTTAAATATGTTTTAAAGAACACATTTCTGGCCAGGCGCAGTGGCTCATGCCTGTAATCCCAGCACTTTGGGAAGCCAAGGCAGGCAGATCACGAGGTCAAGAGATCAAGACTATGCTGGCCAACACGGTAAAACCCCATCTCTACTAAAAATAGAAAAATTAGCTGGGCATGGTGGTGGGCACCTGTAGTCCCAGCTACTTGGGAGGCTGGGGCAGGGAAATCACTTGAACTCAGGAGGCGGAAGTTGCAATGAGCCGAGATCGCGCCACTGCACTCCAGCCTGGCGAAAGGGGAGACTCCCCCCCCCAAAAAAAAAGGCATTTAAACTCAAAGTATCTACTTAGGTACATAGGGATACACACTTAAGAGAAACACTCTAACACACTGTCCGTTTCAGCATCTAAGGACTCAAATACAAATAAGTGATGTGGAATCTGAGATTCTTACTTAGTAGCTGGTTTTTGAGCATAAGTGGTTGTCTTTTGAGTTCCCCATCTTCAGGTGCACCATATTCTGTTTAAGAAATTAAAAGAGATGAGTGATAAACCAAAGGCCACTATAAAAAAAAAAAAAAAAAAAAAAACGATAGGTAAGTGTGCAGAGAGCCTGTGCCTTTCCCAGGACACATCAAGCTCTCTTTATTCCGCTTGATTTTTAGGAGTGATGGACAACAAGCGCTTCCAAGGGCAGAATCCTCTATCTACCCAGAGCTAGAGACTCTGTAACTCATCTAGCTCATTGTTAATGACCAGTGAAATTCAACAAAAGACAATAAATGAAAAGCAACATGTTTACGTGTATATTACATCGTTGTTCCTTAGAGACTGACTGTCCTGACTCAAACTAGCAAGAGAAGACTGCGTTCAAAAACTTCACGTCTTCTCCGAATGTCACCTTTGGAAACAGTTCTCTTTCTGCACTGAGAGAAACCTGTTCTGTACCTTTGACGCAACCCAGAAAACACCTTCACCAAGTTTCAACCAGACCGTGCAGTGCCAGGCTGGGCACTCAGTACCACACTGCAGCCCAGTTCCTCGGCCTGGACCACAGCCTCCAGAGGAGAGGGGGGAAAAGCAGTACGTTTTTCCTGCTCTAGGCCAAACAGTGACAAGATTTCTCTAAATCCCTTCACGTATCTGTGCTTTTGTCTTCTAGCATTAGCAGTGAAATACTAAACCTGCCTGGCTGCTTCAGGATCTTCCCTTGCTCACCCCCAAGTGATTCAGAATTCACCAGGCATGGCCAGGAAATTGGGCCGGCTAATGGAGTAATTTGAAAGTGATTCCCACAGGCAGCTCTTCATCCTTAAAGATACTGTTCAAGCCTAAAGCGTTCATACAGTGAGCTTCTTGCATTAAGAAATATAAAAAAAGGAAAATCACATAAAAGTGAAATGTGGAATAATAATGAAGTCAAAACAAAATGGAAAGTACATCACAGACAAAGACTCATGAATTCTCAGCTTCAAAGCCTGAAGAACAAGGCTGGAGGATTTAAGGAACCACCGTGCAGACCAAGTGCCAACCTTGGTAGAACGGGCAGTGAGCCCTCCGGACAAGAGAGCTTACTAAAGAGCTACACTCCTGAGAACTTTCCTGTTCACTACAAACACCTGGGGGGCTTTAAAAAATACAGGGCACGATGGCTCATGCCTGTAATCCCAGTACTTCAGGAGGCCAAGGTGGGCAGATCACGAGGTCAGGACTTAAAGACCAGCCTGGCCAGCATGGTGAAACCCCATTTCTACTAAAAAATATATATATACAAAAATTAGCCAAGTATGGTGGTATGGACCTGTAGTCCCAGCTACTTGAGAGGCTGAGGCAGGAGAATCACCTGAACCCAGGAGGCAGAGCTTGCAATGAGCCCAGATAGTGCCACTGCACTCCAGCCTGGGCAACAGAGTGAGATTCCATCTCAAAA